CCCGCCCCCCAAGCAGATATCTCTTGTTCAGGAACTGGAAAAAAGCTACACATTATTTGGGTCCAAAATGTAAGGAAATGTTATGTGCAGCTGCAGGTATGATAATGTTCAGCCATCATAACCAGAGAAGAAAAGCAAGCATGGCACGTCTGGTATGAGGGTAGAGGAGGGAGGAATGCACCCCCCCCCATTTCTCATTAAAACTAACATGGACGGCTTCAAAAGGGAATTAGATAAGCATTATGGAGCAGAGGTCCATCAGGGGCTATTAGCCACAAGGTATAGATAGGGGCTCTGGGGCAAGTGATGCTCTGTATTCTTGGTGCTGGGGGCACCAAGTTGGAGGGCTTCTAATGTCCTGGCCCCACTGGTGGACCTCCTGATGGCACTGGTATCTCTGGCCACTGTGTGACACAGGGTGTTGGACTGGATGGGCCTTTGGCCTGATCCAACATTGGCGTCTCTTATGTTCTTATGTTCTTAGGAGCAGTAGGCTTAGAACGGATAAAAGGAAGTACTTCTTCACCCAAAGAGTGATTAACACATGGAATTCACTGCCACAGGAAGTGGTGGCGGCTACAAGCATGGACGGCTTCAAAAGGGAATTAGATAAGCATATGGAGCAGAGGTCCATCAGGGGCTATTAGCCACAAGGTATAGATAGGGGCTCTGGGGCAAGTGATGCTCTGTATTCTTGGTGCTGGGGGCACCAAGTTGGAGGGCTTCTAATGTCCTGGCCCCACTGGTGGACCTCCTGATGGCATCTGGTATTTCTGGCCACTGTGTGATACAGAGTGTTGGGCTAGATGGGCCTTTGGCCTGATCCAACATTGGCATCTCTTATGTTCTTATGTTATGATACAGTCCTATTTAGGGGAGAGGAAGGAAAAGAGAATGTACTCCTGGGTAGCGCCTGGCTGGGGAAAAGGTATGACCAGCCGCATGCTCGAGGCAGGATACTGGTGGTGACAGAGGACACGAGATATGCAGCGATCACTTAGGAAGGACTGATCTGAGACCTGGCTTCTTGCCAGGGCGCTAACTGGATCTCCGTCTCTCTCTTTGTTCAAGCAGGAGATGTGCAGAAGAATGAAAATGATGGGAGACTCCAGGCATCATTGTCAGGAAAATGCAAGAACGGAGATTTAAAAGGGAACTTCAAGAATCCAAATGGACAAAAGGGTCAGGAAGGCAGCCACTTGGTGGAGAGGAGGGATAATCCAATTCCTTGCCGAGGAGGGGGCGTCCAGGAATTCCGATCCAAGCAAGAAAAGCCACCACAAAAGAGGAGGAACCTCAGTGCCCAGCGAAGAATCCATACCAGGGAAAACACAAAAGATAGCATGGAGTTTGGGAAGAGCTTCAGTCAGAGCACAAACTTTATTTCACATCAACAGATTCATCCAGGCAGGAAACCGTATAGTTGCTCTGTGTGCGGAGAGAACTTCAGTCGGAGAACGGCTCTTACTTCACATCAAAGAATCCACGCAAGGGAAGAGCTCCCCGAAATCCCAGAGTGTGAAAACAGCTGCACTGGGAGATTACTCCAACAACAGCAACAGATAATCCACACAGGGGAGAAACTGTCTCAGTGCGCAGAGGTTGAAAAGACCTCAGGCGACCGCATAAGCCTTACTGTCCAACAAAGAACACACGCAGAAGAGAAACGGTACAGATGCCCAGATTGTGGAAAGAGGTTTCGGTGGGCATCTCACCTTCGGCAGCATCATATAATCCATACAGAGGAGAAGCCGTATAGATGCTCGGAGTGTGGGAAGGCCTTCCGTCACCGCATAAGCCTCACTGTACACCAGAGAACACACACAGGGGAGAGGCCTTACAAATGCGCAGAGTGTGGAAAGACCTTTAGTCAGACGTCATCCCTCCAGCAGCATCAAAGAACCCACACGGGTGAGAAACCCTACGAGTGCTCAGAGTGCGAAAAAAGATACAGTTGCCAGTCCCACCTTCAGCGGCATCAGAAGATCCACACGGGCGAGAAACCTTACACGTGTTTAGTGTGCGGAAAGAAATTCAGTTTAAGTTCCCACCTTCGACGCCATCAAAGGATCCACACAGGGGAGAAACCGTATCAGTGCTCAGAGTGCGGAAAGAAGTATATTCAAATGTCAGACCTTCGGCAGCATCAAAGAATCCATGCACCACAAACAACATAGCTGCTCCGTTTTCAAAAATTGGCCGGCAGCTTCAGGATGATTGTGGGAGTGGCGGTGCCAAAAATGAAGGGAACTGGAACATCCTGGCCCAGGTTGTCTCTCAAACATCTTTCTACGGTTTGCAATGGAAGCGACCATTTACTTGGTAGAATACAAGAAGATGGAGGCAGCAGAGACAGGGAGGGCAGAAAATATCCCTCACTTTACAAAACAAACACTCAGACAGGTTTGCCAATCAGAAGGTTTTCTTGAAGACAATGCTCATTGGAATAATACTCTAGACCAGTGATGGCGAACCTTTTAGAGACCGAGTGCCCAAACTGCGACCCAAAACCCACTTATTTATCACAAAGTGCCAACACGGCAATTTAACCTGAATACTGAGGTTTTACTTTAGAAAAAACCACTCATACATTAACTTCAGATGATCCAAACAAAGTAAGGAAAGCAATCCCAAATGCTTTCATTTACTTAAAATTATTTGGCAGAGAATTCGACACTTTAATGATGGTCTGGTCCTGGCTGGGGCGATGGCACGCGTGCCCACAGAGAGGGCTCTGAGTGCCACCTCTGGCACCCGTGGAATAGGTTCGCCACCACTGCTCTAGATGAAGTTGCAGTTGTGCAGTCACTTTGTTACAAAATCTCTTTGCTACACTACTACAAGTGTTTGTCTTTCAAATCCTTATCCGTGGGACGTATATAAGCAGCTTCTCTCAGAAGGTATTTTGAATCCAGTCGGGATACAAAATCCAGAAATAGAAATGGCGTATAATGTTGCCGTTGTTAATACAGCACTTACAATGATTGACGATTGCATTCGGTACACAGGCGGCTCTCATTGGAAAACATTTGGTCTTCCTGAACCACAAAGAGGTGATAATTATGCACTTGCGAATGAATTGGTAACAGAGATTGTATATGATCCTGAACAGCTTGGATAATTCATATGTCAGAAAATGAACCAAGCTTAATACTGAACCACAGGAACTGTTTTTGTAGGAATTACACGTTGTTTTCAATAAGAAAGGAGGCATATTTTTCACAGATGCAGGAAAGACATGTCTTGTGTAATTTTGCTTATAGTTCACTGAGGATGATCGCTGTTGCTTCATCAGTTATTGTCCTAATTATTTTGACAGGAGGCAGAACTGCTCATTCAGTATAGAAACTCCCGTTAGATATTTCAGCTGCTGGTCAACCAACTTGCAGTATTGGTAGAGGGACAGCAAAAGCTACAATAGCAGGAGTGCAGACTTGCAGTGTGAAATGAGAAGCCTGTGTTAGAAGCTTTACACCACACAATGCAGGATTTGCAAAGAAATAACTATGGAAGAAATCACTTCCTGCTATTCTGCAAGGAACCAAAACTGATGAGTTGCCAGCTGGCATCAAATCATCCTACCTTTGCAGTTGTTTCCAAAAATGCTTCCTTAGGGACAAAAAATATGCGGGTACTAGCGGTTTACTCTATGGATCATGAATCTGCAGAGAAACTCTCGAGATTAGGCCGGGGGTCCCCAACATGGTCCCCGCGGGCGCCATGGCAATCTCCAGCACTTTTCCTGGCCCCCACCAAGTACTTTTAGAAAGTGGGGCTTTTTCCTGGCAGGGCTTCTGATTGGCTGTGCAGGTTTTCAATAAGAAAGGAGGCATAATTTCACAGACGCAGGAAAGACACGTCTTGTGTAATTTTGCTCATAGTTCACTGAGAAAGGATGATCGCTGTTGCTTCATCAGTTATTGTCCCAGTTATTTTGACAGGAGGCAGAACTGCTCATTCAGTATTGAAACTCCCGTTCGATATTTCAGCTGCTGGCCAACCAACTTGCAGGCAGAAGTTCTGTTTAAGATTTACCATTATGGCTATGCATGCATAGCCTCACCCCCCTTACATTTTGCAATTGGCTCGGCTTCCCGTGGCAGCCATTTTGTGATTGTACCCACAGCCGTTTGTCAGAATTCCAAAGGTGACTGCAAGGTCAAAAAGGTTGGGAGCCTCTGAATTAGGCAGTGTTGCTCTAAACCCTGATAGAGAAGGATCAAGAGGTCCATGGAAGAGATTGGGAATGTTGTAATTTCCAGGTGTAATGCACTGTAATGCAAAATTTCCAGGTGTAATACCCTGTTATATGAATCCAGTACAGTTATGTCAATGGGCCATTTTAGCCCCTAGAGATGATGCTGTAGACATTCTGTACAGTGCTGGTGGCCGTAGTTAATGATTTCCGTCTGAATATAGAGACACATGAAGAAGAGGAGGCGATTGGATTTATACCCCGCCCTTCACTTGGAGTCTCAAAGTGGCTTACAATCCTCTTCCCCTTCCTCTCTCCACAACAGACACCCTGTGAGGTAGGTGGGGCTGTGAGAGCTCTGAAAGAACTGTAACTGACCCAAGGTCACCCAGCTGGCTTCCAGTGGAGGAGTGGGGAATTAAACCTGGTTCTCCAGATTAGAATCCACCACTCTTAACCACTACACCAGACTACACTTCACCAAGCTGCCCTATATTGAATGAGAGTCCATCAAAGTCATCACTGTCTATTCAGACTGGCAGGGGCTCTTCAGAGTCTCAGGCTGAGGTCTTTCTCATCACCAACTACCTGGTTCTTTTAATTGGAGATGCCGGGGGATTGAACCTGGGACCTTCTGCCTGCCAAGCAGATGCTCTTCCACTGAGCCACAGAACTTCCCCATGCATTCACCGTAGAGAAGGGCTCTCCCACTCTTGCTAAATTTCCCAGTGGCCTTTGTGTCCCATGCCACCTGCTGGGATGTTGAGATGTAGAAGTGCAGATTAAGTGATGTGCTTTGGTTTGGTTTAAATAATTCCTCCTGGGAGGGACCCAGAGGGTTGCAGTTGGTGACCAGTTGTTTGTCAGCAGGGGTCATTTCGTAGAAAAAGAGGTGCAGGAGCTCATTAGCATAACTCATTAGCATAACTTATTTGCATATGCCACACCCCCTGACATCACCGGAAGTGTGTCAGAAGGCAACACCCACCGCTCAGGCTCCTCTGGACTGTTGTGGATTGCTAGCTATTTTTGGGGGGGGGAGACGACGTGCAGATCTGTCCTCGCAGAGGAGGGAGGGCTTGTACCTGAATAAAACTTGGTCTTAAAGGTGCCACTGGACTGTTTTGGACCGGGGGGGCGGGGGGGGCTCTGCAACTTACCTGGCTGCTTCTTGCTCTGACTCAGGGCTGCTGGGAGCAGGGGGTGGGGCTTGTTGCATGTGCCCGCCCCCCTTGGCTCTTTACTGCTGGAGCTCCGCTCCTGCAGGAAATGACCCCTGTTTGTCAGTATGGGGACTTGTTTTGTGAGTTTCCGCCAGGCTCGGTGGAATCCCCGTGCTAGTCAGTCTCTACATAAAGCCTTTAGGGGAAATCATTCATGGTGTCATCAATATGCTGAAGACACCCGATTCTATATCTTTCTATCTAAATCACCTGGTGATGCTGTACGGGTTCTGAACCAACACTTGATTGCTGTGGTGAAATCCTTTAGGGGTGAACAAGTTGAACCTTGACAAGGCAGAGGTAATGCTAACCTGGAAGGCTGAAGTCCTGATGAACACTGCACTTCCCACTTTTGATGGAGTCCAGCCAACACTCGCTGACTCAATGATACTGGATCCAGCTTTATTGCTGGAGAAACAAGCTAATGCAACTCCAAAAGAGAGAGAAGAAGCCATTGTTTCAGTTTTATTTAGCTCAGAAGATGGCCCCCTATCATGGCTGATCTGGCCACATGGATCCATGCTATGGGTAGTTTGAGCCTAGACTACTCTAATCCATTCTAAGCCTGGCCTTGAAGACAACTCGGAAGCCCCAGTTGGTATAGAAGAAGAAGAAGAGAAGAGATTGGATTTATACCCCGCCCTTCACTACCCAAAGGAGTCTCAGAGTGGCTTACAAACTCCTTCCCCTCCCCACAACAGACACCCTGTGAGGTAGGTGGGGCTGAGAGAGCTCTTGACAGAAACTGCTCTTTTTCAAGAACAGCTCTTATCAGAGCTACGGCTTGCCCAAGGCCATCCAGCCAGGTGCAAGTGGAGGAGTGGGGAATCAAACCCAGTTCTCCCCGATTAGAGTCCACGCACTTAACCACTACACCAAACTGTAGATACTTCATGGGTTCTTGAAGAGTTACAGGATAGGATTCAAGGCTCTGGTTGTCACCTACAGAGCCCTTAATGTCCTTGGGCCTACACACCCCAGGAAGAACCCATTCTGTCCCACCCCTGCAACAGATTCCCTCATCTGAGCTTTCTGAAGGTGCCACCCTGAAAAAGGGTAAAATCCGCAACCCCTCGTTCATGCAAGTTCTCTGTGGCGGTTCATGTTTATCCCCATTTATTTTTATTATTTTTAGAACAACATGCAGAAATTGGAATAATATAGCAAGTATTTGAAATCGGTGGTTCATGTTATGGATGGGAAGCCATTTGCCTTAAGAAAATACTCAACAGCTGTGTGTGAACCGTGCCAGGGAAGCCTTCAGATACACTCAGGGAGAAGGGCAGTGAAGTGTGGTCATGATGGATGGGATGAGAGCCAGAGGAGGCTTGTCCTGCATGGCTAGCTTGGGGGGTAGGGCAAGGTGGATAGGTCTGGGTACCTCCAGTTTGGAGCCTTAAAAATCTGTGGTGCAAAACACTATGGAATTGGGTAATGCAGGTTTGGTGGGATGGCGGAAGTCAGCCCCACAAAGAAAGGATTGGTCCCCCCTAGAGATGTGAAGGCCCAGAAAAAAATGGAAAAATTCGTGGGGAAAACAGTTTTTTCCCATTTTTTTCCTGAAGCCTTTTTGTTTTTTCCCGAAAAATTGAAAAAAGAAATGAAAAAAAATTGATTATGGAACATTTTATTTTAACATGATGAATAAAATATTTTAAGACAAGGTGTTCAAATATTTTCCAAATCATTTCTTTTATATATATATATATATGGTAACAGATTGATCTAATTTCTGTGCACTGAGGACAAGCAAGTCCTAGGTTACAAACGGAACTCTCCAATGCAAGAACGTGGGTCTGTGACAGGGTCTACAGTGCCCCACCATGGTTATTTCAGATCAGGAAAACCCCACAGAGAGGAAGGCTTAGTACCTTTCCCCCATGTTCCTTATCTGAAGGACCTATGTGTACCAGGGAGTTCCATTCCTAACAAGGAATGTGCAGTACATTTTAGATCAAAAGCCCTCTTTATGGACCCAGAAACAAACTGAGGACTGTAATGTATATTTAGGTCCTCACATGTATGAAGGATACTGTAAGATGGGTTTTATCTGATGCCTCAGGTGCAGCCTAATAAGTATGCATTTGGA